TTTCTCAAAATATTAATCTCTTGCTATAATACGTATTAAATAATAAATCTATAAGAATTTTTAATTCCATAAAGCTTCCTGTTCGCCTTTAGTATAATGGGCGACAAAAAAAAAAATAATAATGCTCTTAAATTTTTTTAAAATTGAATACATAAAAATTATAACTAACGTAATAATAACAAAAAATGATTTTATAGAAATGTTCTCGCGTTTTTTTTGCAAACTAATTATTTAAAAAAAAATGATTCACTAAAAATAAATGATAAATCAAAAGGTGTGCGTACTTGCGCAATATCATCATGAATCAAGAATAACTTTTAAAGTCTTTTGTGACGATGAGCTTTCGATTTGCTGGTTCGTATGCTATTTACCATAGACATCGAAAACGTTCACAAATAGGAAAACATCACATTTAACAAGTTTCTATGATTTTTACGTTCAGAATCAGTGATATGTCTTTACCTCAAAATTTTAAAACTTTGAAGAAAGTTTCCACGATAATGTAAAAATAACAATAATAATATAATAAAAACTAAGTTTGGTAAGTAAATGTTATATTTTGCGTGTCACTTAAAATCGAAAATGTTGAAGTAAAAAATAAAACATGATGAAAAGAAAAACAAAAATAAGAACGGTCTTTTATCAATAAATAGTGAATAACTAGTTAATTTATTTTTACTGTATTCTGGAACTTCTAAATTGATGTGGTTTTTTTCCTTTACAATATTTCTTTTTTATACTGAAGAAATTCAAAGTTAAGAAGTGATATTCGAATTTAATTATATATATTATTAGAAATTAGAGGCACTTATAGTTGTAAAAATAACATGTTGTCAAGTTGCTACATCGAATAGTATAAATATGCATAAATTTCTTACGTTCATATTCTTGTTCTGGCTAAACTTTATGCATTAATATTGCCCTATATATATTAAACTACATGAATAATACAGTGGGACCATACAAATCATATTACATTTTTATTTTAGCCTCATCAGCCTTATGAGTACTTTCGAATCCACAGTCAACTTTTTATTTATGCATTAGTCAAAAGTATTGATAAATAAATTTGAAACATTTTACGATTTAATTTTCTTGAAATTTAACTAACAATAAATTTACATGACGACATTTTTGATTAAGAAAGTTTTGAAATTTACTTTGAAATTTGAGAATACAGGACGATTTGGCACGAGTTTACCAACTAAGACCGTATCTTAATATATAGTACGATTCAAATTTTGCGACAAAATACCGTTTTAATTTACCCATTAAATTGTGGTCCAAAAATTGATTAGAATTTCAGATAGGAGTAACTTGAACTAACCGTTCATACTCTGTCACTAGTTTTTTATAGTTTACAAAATATTAGTTCAATGAAACAATAACTGTTGATAAAAAAAACTTACCAAAGCGGCCTAATAGTTTAAAAATGTGAAATATATCAAAAATTTTTTTATGAAATGCGATCATATAAGGCGAAGTTAATCACTACAAATTATAAAACACAAATAAGCTATTTAATTCTTTCTTCTTTTTTTACTTTTTATTTTCATCACGATTTACGATACAATACGTAAATTTAATCTATCCTCTTTTCAGTCAGTCTAAAAACTAATTTGAATTCTACGTTATAAATCAAAAAAATTCACCATTTACCACATCATTCAGATTTCACGTTTATAACAACATTCTTGCATTATGACTAAATCCATTCTTTGAACTTTTGTGTCAGAAGATAAATGAATATCTCATTTTATAAAATCATTTCATTGCGACGAATTATACTCTATGGCTTTTCCAATTGCTGGGTATTATTTAATGATAAACATCAATTATATATTACTTGTAACAATAAACATTTTAACGATCACAAATTTTGCGAACAATAATGTAGGTAACGTGACATTTTTGTTGTACAATTTAAATAACTAATAATGCGTAACATAATTTTGGTTCGAAATTATATAAAAACCTTTATCCACAACGATTTGGCTTTGCAAACTATAATCAATTTAATTTCACTTCCGTATTTAATTTACACGAATCTTGATATTTCAAATTTAGATAAAAAATAAAATTAAAAAAATTATGCAAGTCATCCGTGCAAAAGTTCATTATTGCTACAGAATAACGCCTTAAAAATTTTAAGATGTGATGTACTTTTTTATATGTACATGTATTTTCTTTAATATTTCCTTAGTAAATATATTCAAAAAGATTCAATTCTCTGCTCAATTTATACAGTAACAAAAATAATAATCTATAGAATATCTAGATAGTAAATTAATGCAAAATGTTAAATATTTAATGATAATGAAAATTAACGTTAAGGTTGATAAATTTTATGTTGATAGAACGACGACAAGTAATTTGATCGTAAGTGTATAAATATAACAATGAAAAAGTGTATACTTTCTTCAATGCAAATAACTTCTATAGAGCACATGTTTGTGAAGCAAGGAATTGTTTCTATTTTGCTTCTCTCGATATAATTCTGAATTAGTCGCCACTTAACATGAATTTTAATGTTGTGCTTTAAAACTAATTACATAATGTCATACATTTAAAAATGCAGAAAATCAGTACATCACTAAACTCTATACCTTGACTTAGAATACTAATCCGATGTCGCAGTTTAGACTTTTATACTCTGTTTAACCCAATGATGTAAATTTATGATACAAAAATTTAAAAAATCAATGGCTATAAGTCTATTTACAATAATTAATAAATTATTCTTGGACAAATTAACGAGTTCTCTGAAATCAGAAATAAACCTCAGACAATAAATCGCAACATCTCTTCCATAAAAGTTGTTAGTGCATTCAAAGAATTTCAGCTCGTAATCTATGATCTGGTAATCCTGACATTTGATAATGTTGTATCTTCACAGTAGAAGACATTAGATTGCAGACAAGGAATTAATTATATTATTAAGTTACCACTAGACTTTGTGTATTTTGATTGCGTGTATTTATAAAATTGAGAAAGGCTAACTAATTTTCACAAATTATTTATATATCTGATCTGGTGACTTAATTTGAATTACCGCATTACGCCATGCAAAAAAACATTTTATTTCATCAAATAATACGAAAATTCAAGTTTTCTAAATTTATTTCACATTTTGTTAGCGAACCTCAGGTTATTTTAAAATGTCACCATTTAAATCTTTTATTTTGGCTTGTTCTAAAATATTTAAAGTCGACAAAATTTCTTACATTGTCAATTAGTATTTAGAACTTCATGGATGGAGAAATATTTAGTGTTTTCGATATAACGACTTACCAAACATGTGCATCAGCAGTTCTTAGTAATTCAAATCTTTGCCTTTTAATAGATCGAAAAACCTTTGACAAATTCGTGTTTGAAGAGCTATTTGTGATGTAGTCAAGTCGTGTCAAGACCTTAATTTCCGTTTCTTCTATTTCTCCCTCTTCATACTCTTCATTGTTTCCTACTTTCTTTCCCTTCATCTTCTATACTTACTCTTTTTCTAATTCTTGGCCGATATTAAAAAAATTGGCAATCCGCAGTTGATCAAAGTATAAATAACAGATTGAAAGCATTATCACTTTACATCAATTCAAAGAGTTCTTATAGTGAAAAAATTATAACATCTACTATACTTTTTAAGTAATAGAAAGGATTTATTAAAGCTCCTAATCTTTAGACTAGATTTTCAAAGACCATGTACCTTTTCATGAATTTAATTAAAAGAAAATCAAATAAAGTATTTAGAATTCAATAATTCAATATTAATCTTTTTGCTTATGATTCATTCATATGATTCATTTCGAATAAAAATAAAAATACCAATTTTAAATCTTCCAAAGACATTGCAAAAATTTCTTCAACTTACCGTGTCTTTATTTTTTTCATTATACGATTTCTCAAGTATAATTCGTTTGATTCGTTTGAGCGCGAGTATTGGTCTGGCTGATGATTATAATTCCGAAATTTGAAAATAGAGTTAATCGATTTAGTCACTGGTAATTCAAGAATTTTACAATAATTAAAAAAATGTTATAAATACATAGTGATGTTAAGTTGATCAAACGGTGTTTATGCTCCAAAATAGTAGAAAAAGGTCTCGAACTATTTGAGATTCGGTTTAAACTAACTAGTTAAAACCTGATTTAAAACCTGGTTTAGACTATTATTTTTCTAATTTGGAAATACAACTATGTGTCTAGTCACTCCTGTTTTCTGACTTTATTCTTGTAAAACAAGCTTTGTCCATATTCCAATAGATATTGCCAAACTGGTTGGTATAGCTGACTTTATTTACCTGTCGTTTATTTTTAACCATAGATGTGTTGGCTTGCATTGTCTGTCATTATATAATTGATAATATTGCAATTATGTTATGCGAAGATTAAGAAAAGTACGCGATAAAAAGTTAGTTACGAAACCAATTAAATGAAGTCACAAAGCGAGTTTATTTAAGCCTGGTCATTCAACTGATTTATTATTGATTGATCGATATAAATACATATAACTAAGCTTTGCTTTTCTTATCACGTCAAAGTTATGTCTATAAATGATAAGTTTTTTTTTTTTTTTTAGAAACGGAAATGTAGAATTTTAAAATATTCTGACAGCTTGACTTTATTAAAAAGGAAAAATTCATTGCAATTTATTTGTAATGAGCTAGTTGATTGGAAAATATAATTTTTATCCAATTAACTATTTAATATTTTTTTAAAATCAACAAACCAAATCTTTTTTTTAAAATAATAAATTTTACAACATACTTATAGAAAATTATTTTTTTTACGGAATAATTCAATTTTAGCGCATTTAATGGAATTTTAAAGGAAACAATCTCATATTTATCAAATAAATAATTTTTTAATATAAATTATTATTTGCAATCGAACAGTTATTTATAATTTTATCTTTTGATGGAATTATATACGCGCATATTATTGTTATGCAAAAATTACTTTTTAGTTTAAGATGTGAAGTCGAATTATTTAATATGTGCGATGCGTGTTTGGTGTTTAATAGTCTGGTTCATAAAGCTTTTTTTCTATTGATTTAAATAAGGAAACACGTTGTTGAAAAAAAAAACCTTTAAATATAAACTTTTTGATAAATATAAATCATATGAATTCGTAGCTTTCTTGATTAAGCTAAATATTACTCTATATTTATACCATCGATAAGTCAATTTTATTTTTTTAAAAAAAAAAATTGGTGAAGCATCGCAAGATATTTTTTAACACCCGTTGTATTTGTTTCTTATAAGGTAACTAGATTATACTAAATGTTAATAAGGACTCATATCACCTCAGATATTACCAAATTCTATGACTGACTTTTCAACATCTAGATGAATTTTGAAGATGCTGCATATCTGGTTCTATAGGAATTATAATTATACTTAACGATAAAATATTCGTTATGATAAAGTTACTATTTACAAGGAAAGAAAAAAAAGTACTTTACAATATTCCAAGTATTATTGGTTCGGTCCGATCAAAAAAGACCAATCTTTCATTTCTTTGGACAGGACCGGTTATAAGACCGGTCTTGTACTATTTGGTCCTACCAGTCCGGTTCGGTCCAAGATTTGTTTCCTTCTCGAACCATACTGGTCCAAGGATTGGTTAAGAACATATTAAAAGATTTTATTCGCCTGATATATACATATTTAATGATTTAATAAATAAAAAAGATAATAATTGCATACAAAAAGATTACTGTGCCTTTTTAATTTCTATTTCTGATATGGGAGGTTAGCTATCTTCCTCAGGATCATCATCAAAAATTCCTCGGACACGTGATTATATCAAAATATTTTGTCACTACGTACTACACTCCTCAAGTTTCCGTTTTTACTATTTATACTGGGAACAATTTTTTTAGCGGCGAAAGTTTATTTATCACTCGATATAAGGTGGGTTAGGGTTAGTTAGGTAAGGTATTAGAATATTATTGGTCAAATGTCACAAGTCCGAATCACGTTACGAATCATATGATTTATTATCGATTTTAAGACTTACATCTTAGATGGCGTCGCCGGAAAAAATGGTAACTTGATTTGTATTTCTGGGTATTTATTATTAGGATACGTATTAAAATTTGGGTTTGGATTTGGATTTGGATTAGGATTTGGATTAAGGTAGTAGAATTAGGATTGGTTAAGGGTTAGGAAATTTGTCACATCGCGTCCCATCCCAATCGTTCCTCGATTTACTAAAAATTCAGGGAATGGAAATTTTTTTGTGAGAAAAATGCTAATTATCACAATTAAAGTCACTCCTTGTAAGTATACATATGTGACCCGGAAAATAAAATCCGGCTACAATTTTTTCGGGGCGACGCTAGGGACGCTAGGACAGTTTCGATTTTAAATAGCAAAACTCCCATATTTTCATTTCGGAAATTATCGTTACATTAGGATAGGTCCAAGGAACCGGTCCGTTCTAAGAGTTGAAAACAGGACCGGGTCGATCCAACTCTATAATTTATAATAAAACAATATTTTATAAAATTAAACCTTAATTTACAATATTTGCTATAAATAATTAAGGACCGGTCCGGCCCGATCCTCAGAATATGGATCGAAAACAGCAAGGACCGGTCCATTAAACGGTCTAAGGCCGGTCTTACCAGGACCGATCCATTCCTAAATTTATCTCATCTTCAGAACCCCTACTGAATAATGAAAGCGCCTAAACTTTCATATGTAAATATAAAAGAAGATATAGAAAATATTCGATATATAAATTTTTTCTTTCTAATACAAAAACATTGCGAACATTGATGGGTATAGTGCGAAGTCAATGAAGAGAATTCTATGACATACATGTATCACGGGATTGACTTCTGGTTTATTTATATACGATCAATATTTAGAATGAAAAGCTATCAACGATTGAAACTTTATTTTAGAGCATTCCTAATGATTCAGCTTTTTATCCGGTGATTCAGATTTATTTTTTGAGGGAGTTTCGTGCACGTAAGGTCGCTTCGAATCGCAGTGATCTAAAATTTATTTTCTATGCCTTTTTTTTTAAGAACTTGCGTCTTCTTTCCTTTAGTACCTCTTTCAGGTTGTTACGCTTCAGAAGATTTGGACAGCGGGGTGTGTTAGCAGTGGAAATGGATTATGTCTCAGATGTTATAAAACTAGGAAAACGGGAACCGTTAAAGTTCGTCTCTATTAAAAAGGCAGGATTAATCAGGTGTAACAAAAAAAAATTAAGCAGGGGTAGTGAAGGAAATTGACGTGTTGGATGAATGGCAGGAATATGCCGGGTTAACACAAATTCTTGTTTGACTGTACAGTAAATTGTCCTTAGCTTCGCTCCGGACAATTAGTCTCCTAAGAAGGCGCAGTTAATTCTCTGTGAGACTTTTCGATCCTTTTACTCATGGATGTCCGATTAATAAACTTGCATTCTTACACGCAGTATATTGATAGAATTGATTTAAATTATAACCTGTCAAAGAAATTTATCAACACCTCTCTCTCGTTCGAAATTATAAACAATTTTTTTTTTATGATTTTCATCTGGTACTTACGAAATCGGGGTGATTTTCGTCATTTAAATAAGGGTAATTAATGACTATTTTTTTTCGTTATTTCCTCCACATCACATTCATTTGAAAGTTTTGTAGAAATGTTGTAAGAAATTTCCCTCAAGAAAAATTAAGTTCCGTTACGATTTTCAAAAGGTTGAGTATATAATAAGCTAAATGATTTTCAGAAAACAAAATTACCTTATTTGTAAGACAAGAAGCCGATATACTAGACTATTTATGGAAATAATTTACAGATGGAAACGAGGCTGAATAAAAGTGAGTTTTCTATCAAGCTCAATCCGAACAAAATAAAAAAAAAAAAAAATGGTTTTCAAGAACAATTTTAAAAAATCCCTTAAAGGATTGGAAACGAGAATTAAGGAATTAGAGCAAAGTAACGAAGGGTTATATTCACAGTTCAAATATTTAGAAGAAAAAATTATAGAGCGAAAAGATGAAACCAAAGTCAATATTAATAATTTAGAAGAAAAGATTAAAGGTAGAGAAGAAGTATCCAAAACCAAGCAAGAAATTATTAATGAATTAGAAAAGAGAATCAAAAATCTTGAATTATTATTCTATGATGATAATATTGTTAGTTTAACAATTTTTTATTCTAATAACATATTGAACAACACCTTAGGCGGATTTGAAAGATATCGAAAATTGGAGAAATTCATTTGTAATTATTCTCAAATAACTAGCTTACCAATATTACCTAACTCCTTAATGGAACTTTATTGCTGTTCTACTCGAATTACAAGCATACCAGCATTACCTAACTCTTTAACAATACTCTCTTGCTTTAAAAATCGAATTACAAGCTTACCAACGTTACCTAACTCCTTAACGGAACTCCGTTGCTATAGAACTCAGATAACAAGCTTACCAAATTTACCTAACTCCTTAACAAAACTTTATTGTTATAATACTTCAATAA